TATATCTAATTACACTGACCTGAAAGGTCAAGTGTCTTAAATCCCTAGTTTTCTGTTTTCTTCTGTTTTTTTCGTCGTCGAGAAATCGAGTTTGCGTTCGCGCATCGCAGGCTCAGGGTGCAACGATTAATCCAAAATGCCATCGATTCTTCGACTCCACGATTCATGTATAATAGTAAGAAGCTTGTATTTATGTACGTATTAGCCGGCTCATGCCATGCTTGTGGTGCATTTTTCGTTTATTAGCCCATATATAGACTTATATGGACTTATACGCACGCGCACAATTCCGAACTCCAATGGTGACATATTCAGTCCAGTTTCAAAATGGCACCTTTTGGCTGAGTGATCAGAATATATTTCACACAGATTCGTTGAATTTTCAAAGAGTTGTGCCGGTTTCCTATGGATTTTACGTTGTGTCGCACTCTGAACTTTCTTGCGTGTTGAATTAATGTTTTTCTTTTTGTATTAAACGACTCCAAAATTTGGCTTCCAAAATTTGGCCGACCCGGCGGATTTATACAATCAATATGTTGTATCAAACGACTCGAAAACCCCAAAATTTGGACCCGACGCGAATTTGTACAATATAGTGGAATATAAGCAAGGACAAGTTAAAGGTTCGACAGTTTATTTTGATTTATTGTATGGTTCTCATTTGCCTAATACAATAACATTTAGTTCACAATACAATATAAACAAAGGCAAGGTTAAAGGTTTGACCATATTAAAATACATGTATTGAAATTCGCGCAATAGCTACTAGAATTTGTGCAAGTAAAGATAAAGCGAGCGTTCGATCACATTTATTTGACGCCGAATTAAGTAACTCAATTTTAGTTTCTTAAACACTGAGTATTAATATGACTAAGAGTATCACAGAAGATTCCTTGAAGCGAATTCTCGATGACAAATTCAGACCGGTTGAACACAAAGTCAAAGAATTGGTCAAAACGGTGGAATTCATCAGCGCCAAGTATGATGAGCTATTATCTAAGCAGATAAATATCGAAGCTGCAAGCAATGGGCTGGTAAAAGAGAATGAAATATTGAAGAATCAAGTATCAAATCTGCAAAATCGAGTTGAACAATTAAGTACAAACGTAAACGACCTAGAGCAATATGGCCGCCGTGAATGCCTTGAAGTACGTGGCGTTCCTTTTCGAGATGATGAAGACCTTACTAATGTGGTATGCTCTATTGGTAGTTTAATAAATGTAAATATTCAACCGCAAGACATCTCAATTAGCCATCGTCTTAAGACGAGAACGCCGACGCGAAACTCAACGCCAGCAATCATCGTGAAATTCGTAAGCCGGACCACAAGGGATAGGCTTTATTATGCTAGGAAACATCTGAAAGATAAAACTACTTCAGACATTGGCTTTGGTAGAATCTCTGATAACAAGATTTATATCGCAGAAAGCTTGACAAGAAAGAATAAAGAATTATTTACAAAATGCCTCGATGCAAGGCGGTCCCTCAATTATAAATTCATCTGGACGAATCAAGGAAGAATCTATTTGCGAAAAAATTCTGACACGCCTGCCAAGTTAATTACAGCTGTGCAGGATATTGATTGCCTCACTTAAGATAAGTGATTAATATTATTTATAATTGTGTATACTGTACAACTGACTAACAATGGCTTTTGACTTTGATAGTGGATCCTTACCACAATTAGATTTGTTAAAGACTTTAAACTCTTGTTCTATGACTTCTAATTTGGATCCTGATTTAAATATACCTTTGCAAACAAATTTTAATTATTATACCATGTCCGATTTTACAAATAGTTATGATATTGCCAATTGTTCCTTAGGGAATTACTTCTCGGTTATGCATTCTAATATTAGAAGCATGAATGCAAATTTTGATGGATTAATGCAAATGTTAGCGGAAGTCAATCTTTTCTTTGATCGGCTTAACAGAAACTAAATACAAAGTTTCTGAAGATATCCAGTATGCTAATAGTATGCCAGGTTATTGTTTTGTATCACAACCTAGTTTATCCAATGCAGGTGGTGTAGGTTTCTTTGTTTCTGATCAATTAAGTTTTCATGTAAGAAATGATCTGTCAGTATCTACAAATGACTATGAATGTTTATGGGTAAATATTCAGAGCAATTTTAATCACGATTTAATATGCGGGGTCATATATAGACATCCAAATAGTGATCTTGAAGCATTCTTGGTATATTTAAACAAGGTTATGGATACAATAAGTCGAGAAAATAACTGCTGCATTATAATGGGAGACTTTAATTTAAATTTGCTTAACTCAGATTCACATTCGGGTACAGAGGAATTTTTAAATATATTGGGTTCTAACTTTTTCAGTCCCCATATTTTGCAGCCGACAAGAATTACTCATCACTCGGCTACTTTAATTGATAATGTGTTTTTTAATTCGATTGCTCACCATACAATTAGTGGCAATATAGTGTATGATCTAACTGACCATCTTCCAAATTTCCTGATTGTTAATAATTTTACCACATTACCTAAAGGTTATAAAATGTATAAAAGGGATTACACTCATTTCAACGAACAAAGTTTTCTTCGCGATGTTCAGGGTATAAATTGGAATTTGGAAACTTTAGATAATAACGTTAATAGAATGTTTGACAAATTCAATTCTGATTTAATGAAAATAGTTGATAACCATATCCCTTTAAAGCAACTGAGTAGGAAAACTATTAAAAATATGGCTAAACCCTGGATAACACCAGGAATTAGAGCTTCGTTAAAAATAAAGAATAATTTTTATAAACGATATATAAATACAAGGTCCCCGTATTATTTTTCAAAATTCAAATTATATAGAAATAGACTAAATCGATTGATCAAAATAAGCAAAAGAGACTACTATAATAATTACTTTACTATAAATAATAAAAACATGAAAAATATATGGAGAGGAATTAAACAAATTATAAGTACTAAACCGAGGGTTGGCGGTGGTATACCATCTCAAATTATAGAGGAAGGATCTGTGTTGAGTGATAGTACATCGATTGCACAATCATTCAATAAATTTTTTGCTAATGTAGGAAATAATCTGGCTGTATCTGTACCCTATGAAGGTGGGTCCCCAATATCGTATATGCCGCCAAGGCAAATAAATAGTATATTTCTCTATCCGATAACCTCTGACGAAATTGAAATAGAAATTAATAAACTAAACTCTTCAAAAGCCGCTGGTCCTTTTAGTGTGCCGGTAAATATTTTAAAACTAATTAAGGGAATTATTTGCAAACCTCTAGAAATTTTATTTAATAGCTCTTTGCTAACTGGTTGTGTCCCGGATTGCTTTAAAATGGCTAGAGTAATTCCTGTACACAAAAAAGGTTCAACTATGCATTGTAATAATTATCGTCCGATTTCTTTACTATCAATTTTCAATAAATTGTTAGAAAAACTTGTTTTTAATAGAATTAGTTGTTTCATTGATAAACACAATATCTTATACAATAAGCAATTCGGCTTTCGTGCAAAACATTCTACATTACATGCAATACTTTCGATTACTGATCAGATACAAACAGCTGTTGAAAATGGTTACTACTCGTGTGGTATTTTCTTAGATTTATCTAAGGCCTTTGATACAGTTAATCATTCTATTCTCTTACAAAAACTTGAGCATTATGGATTTAGGGGTATAGTATACGACTGGTTTGAGTCATATTTATATAATAGAAAACAATTTGTTTCAATAGGAGGTGTCTCATCAGGATTACTAGATGTTACCTGTGGGGTGCCACAAGGTTCTGTTCTTGGCCCTCTACTGTTTCTTTTATATATTAATGATATGAAAAACACTACTAGTGATCTTGATATTCACCTTTTTGCTGATGACTCAAATCTCTTCTGCTCCGATAAGAGTTTGTCAAGGCTGGAAACAAGGATTAACGCTCAACTATCAGAAGTTTATCGTTGGCTTTGTGCTAATAAGTTGTCCTTAAATATTGAAAAATCAAACTATATCATATTTCACTCCGTCCAGAGAAAGCTTAACTACGAAATTAAAGTCTTCTTAAATAATCAAATACTTAAACGAGAATTTAATACCACTTACTTGGGTGTAGCAATTGACTGTCATTTAAATTGGAAATCGCATGTGTCAAACATATCGAAAAAGGTTAAACGCAATATAGGTGCAATATCCAAAATAAGGCATTTTGTTAATATTGATGTGCTCATGAACCTTTATTATTCCCTTATTTACCCATTTCTAACGTATGCACTAGTGGTTTGGGGAAACACCTATGCTTCATCTATCGATCCTTTGCTTATTTTGCAGAAAAAAATAGTTAGATTAATGACCTTTTCAAATTTTTATGACCATACAGATCCTTTATTTATAAAATTAAATATATTGAAGATGCATGATCTTGTCTTCTATTGGAATGCAGCATTTATGCATGATTTCTATAATGGAAACTTGCCAGAAATATTTCATACTTTTTTTACTTCTGTAAAAGAAAAACATAATCATAATACCAGATTTGCTTCAAGATTGACTTATTCTATTCCAAAGATAAGAACAAATTATGGGAAATTTAATATACGCTTTTCGGGCGTAAAGGTATGGAATGAAATTAATGATGAAATAAAGAAACTTAAACCATCAAAATTCAAAGCTGAAGTTAAAAAATTCCTACTGCAAAAATACAAGGAATGATTGTCAAAACTAACAAAAGAAAATTAAAAATACAAATTAATAATTACATGCAATTATATTTGAACAAGATTTTCTTTTTTTCTCTTCCTTTTGTTTTTCTCTTCTTTTGAATAGTTATAAGCAAGGTACTAGTAATAGTGAATTACTTATTTATATATGAACAATTTTTGACCTTCAAGTTATACTTCTGTGCTTTAATTAAAATTAATTGGAAATGGAAATATATTATTTATTAAGCTAGCTGCCTCGTTTAACCTAATGGTTACTGCTGCTAGCTTGCACCCATATCAGGATCCAAATATTTAATGTAAATTTTTTTTTTTTTTTTAAATAATGGTGCTCAATAAAAATTGATTGATTGATTGATTGATTGATAACTTCAATGTCAGAAACACGTGGGTGTTCAATGTCAGATTTAACTTCAATGTCGAAAGCACGTAGGTGTTGAATGTCCTATTTAACTTCAATGTCGAAAATATGTTGAATGTTCTGCATTGTGAAATGTGTAATTAGGCAATTTATTACTCACAAATAGCATCTCAGACATGATTTTAAACCTTGTATGATACAAGTTGACAATAATAGTACACAAAGACATTCAAATTTGTGTTACTATGAAAACTAGGTGAGGTCGTAACAATATCAGAAACCCAAATAATAACGTTCATTGTTACAACCTCGAAACATAGCATACACACAGATTGTGTTTATAGAAGCTTGTATTTTTAACTAACAACAATTTATACATAGAAGTCATTCATGCATACCAAAGGCCTAATTCAGTTGACAGCTATGCACATGCACAATACTGATCTATATAATTCTGTATATATCATTTCTCCTGTGTCACACTTAACTTATTATATAATATCAAAATATGAGTGTTGGAAATATAAAATTCCTAAAGTGTTCTTTAAGTAATAGAAATAACTACATGTACTTATAAATATATTTTTTTACACTTATTGTCAAAGGTGTGTTCATGTAACATAGTCTGCTAAATACACTGGTTTCTTCCTGATTCTTCTGTCTTGAGATCAGTTGTTCGACCGTTGATTTGTCTGCTTGCTTGGTTTGCCCTACACTAATGTTCTCTGGTACATGACCATGGATTCCCATTGGCATTTCCTGGACAGCCTCTTCAACTGATTCAGGCTCAGTCATTGCATTCTGGAGAGTTGTCTCTTTGTCTGATATTAATTGTTTCTGCGTTGTTTCTTCTGCGACAGAATCTTCATTATCCTGAAAAAATGGCATTTTCTTCAACAACTATCTTCCTCGGCTCATAATCTTCTATAAGCGTGTTTGCTTGTTTATATTGACTTGCATCCTGGTAGACTTCTCAACCGTCCTTAATTCTTCTCAACACTATACTTGACCCATCTACCTGAGTTACTACATAAAATGCTGGTTTGTATCATAGTTAATATAATGGGAGGGTTTGGAAGGCCCAGTCACATATCAAAATATGTTGTGTTTTCTCTTACGTCACAGTTATGGTGCACATCCGCTATCGATTTTAGTGAAGGACATTATCTAAATGTGTGGTTCAATCTTACAAAATGTAAATTTTGCATAGTTTTACGAAGATGCCGGGGGCAAACTGCTCTATTTTTGGTTGCAGAACTAATAGATGACAACATACTGGAGTCGGAATTTTTAGGATTCCATCAGGAAATGATGAGAGATCGGAAGCTATTCGTGATGAGTGGATAAGGGTAATTACAAAGGTTCATGTTGTTGATGCGTATTTTCGTAAACAAATCGAATCTGGCAACGTTTTTGTGTGCGAGAGACATTTTAAAAAGGAGGAGATCGAATTTCTTAAGCATTAAGCAATTTCCCTAGCTTATTATATCATTTTCAATCCAGAACAGACTACACTGAGTGAGAGAAGTCATGTTGCATATTAAACAATGCTTCATTGTTGACATAACACAACTCATGAATATTAAATTTTGACCCCGCTTGTCTTTGTGTAACTGACCAATGTAATTACCGGAAGGATCATTGCCGAATTATAATTTATTAGGCATGAAACTCAAAGTGGTAAACGAATTCAAAGATCTTGGTGTAATCATGACAAGTAATCTATCATGGAGTAACCAAGTCGGCTCTTCAGTTAAGAAAGCAAATCGAATTTTGGGTCTGATTAAAACATCAGTTGGTTCGTTTACTTTCACAAACTTTGTACAAGTCATTGGTGAGACCTCTTTTGGAATATGCTGTGCTCGTGTGGTCGCCACACTTAGTGAAAGATGTACAAGCATTAGAGGCAATTAGAGGCAGTTCAGAGATGAGCATCCAGACTAGCGTTAAAACAAAGACAAGGTGAAATGCCATACGAAGACCAATGTGGATTATTAAAATGGAACACTCTAGAGAAACGAAGAGAATTCCTATCTCTTGGTCGAGTGTTATAAAACCGTTTTCGGTCTTAATGGTATATCATTCACAGAAGTATTTGAATATAAACAGTATCACGCTACAAGAACCAACCACACATATACACTACATCCTAAACGACCAAGAATTAATTGTTTTAAGCATTCGTTTTTTGTAAGGATTATTAGTTTATGGAACAATTTACCCCGATCAGAAGTTGAAGTTGATAATATTAAGAACTTCAAGAACAATTTAAAATTACACATGAAATTGCATTGATTTATCTAATGTTTATAGTGGTGTATCTATGTGTTTTATTATTACATTATAGTAATTAGGTAAGGGGATCCATATATAGGGCAAACCTCAGGATTTCCCCTGCAAAGACCTAGATACTTTTGTAATAGGTACTTTGAATAAATTCTTATTTGATTTGATTTGAATTATATTTACTGAACTTAGGTTCTGTTAGATTAATTGTAAAATTGTTTTGAAAACAAAATGTTATATAGACTTTGTATATTCTTTTACAGCTGGAAAACGTAAACGCCTTGTTGTTGGGGCTATTCCGACACTAAACCTGCCAGTCAAAACCATTTCGCCATCTCCAGTTACAACGAAGCGAGAACTAGTGTGTCCTGAATTAGCGGTGGCCGTACCTGTCGTTTACAGAAACATTGAACATTTCAGGAAAAAGATTTTGACATTAAAACTAAGAGGATGGTGCAAGACTGAAAACAATGATACTGTGCTATTTCAGCTGTTCAATCCAACCCACATCTTGCCCAAATGTCCTTGCGTGTGGATTCTGGGTTAAATCTCACCATGGGAGCATTCAATTGGCTGCTTCCAGACAACCATTTCATATGTAATATTTCAAATCCGACTATGAGGACTGGACTAGATCTCAAGTCTGCGTAATTTGATCAAGTCCGAGGCAAAGCCGAGGACTGGATCAAAATGCAAGGATATATAGTCCAGTCCGAATTGGAGGATTTGAAATGATATCTCATGCGAATAAATCACGACTTAATTAGTTTGGATCCAATCCAAGGACTGAATTAATTTTGATCCAGTCCTAGGACTGGATCAATGTACTTCATCAGGTATCCAGTATTATCATGTGACCAAAATAAAGCAATATGGTTGGCTAATTTACTCATGAATTATTAATGAGTTTGAGATACACCAATACGAAACGGTCCATGTGATACAATCTTCTCACCTCTGTTATTTCTACTTTGGAGGAACTGACAGTTTGCAACAGACTAACAAGCCCATTCATTTGTGACCCTAGTTTCTCCACAAATCCCACTCATATCATCTGACACATTATGCCCATTAGACCTGAAGAATATGAAGGGAATGCTCCACCATTTCAAGCCACTGTCTTCATCAGAGCTCAGGATTGTGAAATGTTTACCAACAGTGATCACTGCTCAACTTGTGTAGATACTGAGAAGCACATCAGCCAAAAAAAGGAACGGTTGGAAAAGAAAACGTCTGAACCAGTTAAGAGTAAAGCACCCTTAACTACTACCAGCAAGAGTAGACTAGTAGCTACGGTTCAAAAGCAATGTCTTGTCTGCAAAGAACTTGAAACTCATTTGACAGACCAAGAAAAAGAGATTGCAAAGAATAGCATTTCTGTCGACGAAAACTTGGAGAAAGACATATTTTCCATCCTTGCTGATCGCAGTGATAAAGATGTTTCACCTCAAATGAAATTCTTCTGGGAGCAGCAGAGAAAGTTGCTCCGAACACCTACATTTGGATGGTGTTACCATCCCCACCTCATGCGATATTGCTTATCGATCCATGCTAAGTCACCTGCAGCGTATTGAGAATTACGGGACTCTGGAGTCTTGGTTCTACCAAGTGAGAGGACATTAAGGGATTATCGGAACTTTTTCAAACCACAGCCAAGTTTCAACTCAGAGAATGTTCAAAGACTTCAGGACATGAAACATGAATACTTTGACATTCAGAGGTATGTGGCAATCTCTTTTGATGAAATGAAGATACAGTCGAAACTAGTCTTCAACAAATTTACCAATGAACTTATTGGTTTTGTAGACCTTGGGGAAGAGGAACTGAATACCAGCAGCTTTGGTAGTCATGAACTGGCTACTCATGCTCTGGTATTTTTTGTTCGAGGTGCTGCAACTGACCTGAAGTATGTCCTGGCCTACTTCTTGACCATTTATGTAACATTGTACCAAATAATGCCTCTTTTTTGGAAGTCTGTGTTGGAGCTGGTATGTAACCTGTGGGTTTGTGCAGCAGTGTGTGATGCTGCCTCACCAAATCGTCTATTCTTTCGACTCCATGCTGACGTAGCTAGCACAGAGATAGATGGCGTGTATTGGACATTCAAACAGCAGCAGGGATGACAAGAATATCAAATGACAATGTTCAGAGTAAAGTGTCTTTCAAAGACAGCAGGACAACAGGATCATTGAATAACAATGTTCAAAGTAACGCATCTTTCAAAGGCACAAGATGACAGGATCATTGAATAACAATGTTCAAAGTAAAGTATCTTTCAAAGGCAACACGACCACAGGGTTATGGATATGCGCGGTACAAAGTAAAGTATCTTTTAAAAGGCAGCACAATGACAGGGTCATCGAATAACAATGTTCAAAGTAAAACAGTAGCAGAGATGCGAAGATCACCAAGTTAAATGTTCAAAATTAAGTATATTCCAACAGCAGGGATGATGAGAATATCGAATAACAATGTTCAGAGTAAGGACACTTTTCAAGATGCTGCAGCCAATTTGTTTAATATCCTTCCACCTGTGTGACGATTTTAAACTTTATTGTAAACTGCCTTTTAAAAGATACTTTACTTTGTACTGTGTATATCCATGATCCTGTGGTTGTGCTGCATTTTAAAGATACTTTTTTTTGAAGATTGTCATGGGATGATCCTGTCATCTGAAAGATACTTTACTTTGAACATTGCTATTCAATGATTTTGTCATCAATGTTGCCTTTGAAAGATAGTTTTTCTAAAGGAACAACAAGTCTTGTGGCAGTACTTGAGCGTAGGGTGCGTGTATGTTCAACTTTTTCCAGAGCAACATATGATGGCCAGGTAGATAAGAAAATGGCCTTGTACACCAATTTTAAGATGTGGAAACCTCTTCTCTCACAGATTGATGGCTTGGCCATGGTGCTTCCATTATCTCGCGCAGTGCTTTAAATATCTCTATTCATATCTTCTCGCCAACAGGTAATATCCTCTATATATTATGGTTCCATAAACTTAATCTGAAAAAATTGACTCAACTTAGTTTCAATTTGCCACTAGCTAGTAGTGGGGTCACTTCAACTTTATATGTTGACTCGGGCTCTGATACGTAAATAATGATTTCGTCCAAAGATATATTGCTTTCTTGCACCTCTGCACTGTACCAACCAGCTCTCCAGCCAGTGCCTCCTGTTTTCTTCTTAGACCATCGAACTTTAACTCAAAATATTCATAATATTCATCACAACTCTCTCTCATATATCCTTCTGGTTCGTCAGTAGAGTCACTATCATCTCTATGAAATGGATGACTAACATACATTTGCAGAGCCGAAAACAATTTGTGTAGGTCAGTAATCACATGTATGTTTGAAGGAATCTTAATTTTTGATTTTTTGCACAATGGGATAATGTAAGTGCGGATTCTGCATATGTCATGAGATGCCAATATGGATTGCTGGCATGATTGCTGATATAATTCGCTTGGCAGTTTTGATGCACTGTTTCTGTTGGTTTTCTGGCTTGTAAAACAGCAAATGGAAACGTCTGTGGATACAATCATAGAACAAGCTCATCTTTATTGCCAGCGAAGGAAAATGCATGAGACTTTAAAATATTTTTTTCTCGGAAGTGACATTTTTTAAGTTCACTTAGAGACTTTGGTAACAATGATAATTTCCCACTGTATGATGGTTTGAATGTGAACGTGCCCTCTTCCGTTGGCACGTTGTTCTTCGCAAACAGCCAATCTAGAACGGTAGAAATAAAGCTGGTATGTCTATTTGTATCTCTTTGTATAATGCAGCTGTTTTCTCGTATGAAAGATAGTGAAGCTCTCATTTGCTTTTGAACCATTTAACAAAATCTGGTATAGGCTGAAGTTCGAAGTTGTATTAATCAACAGTACTATAAAGTGTTGTGGGATACTTGTCCTTCCATGGTAAACAGTTGTCTCCCTTGTTTATCACAACATTATAGTCGCTAATATACTGCTTTTCGAAATCTTCGGGTAAATCTCACACCATGACAAGTGATTTGAATAAGGCATTGCTGCCACTCCTTGGTCTGTATGCCCATGTGCATTCTTCTTTCCTTTCTTCTGAAAGGCTCAAAAATTCTTTCAATTCTTTTTCGTCATCAAAAATGAAAATTAACTTGTGACATGATTTTGATTAAAAGATTTATTCTAAATATTCAATGACCCTGCTATAGTTCTCATTTGTGAGTATGGCAAGCCATAACTACTATTTTTCAAACATTTGATATTGTCAGGCTTAGATCTTGTGTCCACCATTTTCATTTTGAGCATATCACCAATTGCATTGTTATTATCCATTTGAACAACACCAGTGACCTTCTTTTATGTTGTATGTGGATCCCTATTACCGGCAAGGTACTCTTTTAGCTTCTTCAAGGGTGGATGGTTATTTGATCTTTTTTGGTCTTGTGAAACTGAAATTAACACAGGATTTACTTAGTCATATTGTATTGATATTCAAAAGATATTTGTCAAGGTTAGCAATTCAACATATCAATCCATGATATTTGAGTAATTGTACTGAAGAAAATGATTAATCGTTTGCCTTTTGGAATTATGTAGGTTGCAATACCTAAAATTACGACTTGTGGAAAATATAAGTTACAAGTATTTCAAACTGTCCTAAAGTGCTAAAATACAGCACATGCATGGCTATTTGGCCCATGTAATCAGGACTGATAAGCCATCTCACTCAGCTGGGCTGGTCTGCTTATTACCAAAACCACAATCATAATAATCATGTTACTACTCATTTTCTAAATTTCTAATTACGTATTAGGCTATTGTAACAATTGGTCATGTGATCCAAACTTCTTTATGTAACTTGGGATCAGTCCCATGGACAGAGCATAGGAAAGAGCATCGGAAATTATGTAGACAAGTAAAATTTAAGGTCCATAGCACAAATACATCATATTTGGCAGTATTAAAGTAATTTTCACTAATTTCAAAATGCTGCTAGATTTGATGTACTTATGCAACACTATGCATACGCCTACGCCTAAGGACATTAAATTTAGCTGGTCTACAGTTTCTGATGCTCTTTCCATCTATGAGACCACAAAATCTACGGCTAAAGCTTATAGATAAAAGGTTAGTGGAAATATTTGTTTTGGTAAGAGTGCTTAAATTAATATTGCTCGCTTGTAAAGCTGTTGAAGGAGCAAGGAGTGGAGCAGTCCGAGCTGGCTCTAAGGTTGTGAAACCTTCACAAGACTGTACATTGTTTTGTGTATAAATCGACTTTATGTCTTATTGTCGAATCCTTTCTTTAAGCAAAGTTCTCTCGTAAAAAAATAACAAGTCTTGATGTGTGATGGTGTCTGCACTATTACAAGACATCCTTTATATTTACATACTGTGCGCTGACTAGTATCATAATTAATAACCGATTATTGATTTATTGTTCTAACTGAAAATTTCATTTGAAATTCACAGGTTCAACATATGCAAACTTCTTTGTTCTTCATGAAACTAGAACTGGTTTATAAATGGCATGTGTTTGGTTGAGATGTCAACAGAAAACTAATCAGACTTGAAAATAATTATGAAGGAGCGATTGCAGAATAACCGTCCACTTTTAAAGACCCACTAGAAATATCGGTGGCTATGTGGCTATATAGTGCTAGTAAAAAATTAGAACGAGTCTTTGGTATAATACTTGTGTGATTATAAGGTGGCTATATTTTTCACTGTTTATATGCAGTGAGTCTTTAAAAGAACAAGACATTGATATAATTACATATAATAGTAAGGTAAGGAAGGTATATTTTTTGAGTCTTTAAAAGAACGAGACAATGATATAACAGAGCTGCCAAGTCTCACGGTTTACCCATGAGTCTCCAGGTTTTCGCGCTGACCTCCAGGTCTCACAGTTGGTGTTGAAAATCTCACGGTATCCATTAAAATGATTCTTTATGCATGGTTCTACATCTATGCTTTGAAAAACATACAATTTGTGAAAATATTGTCAGTTCTTTCGAATAAAAATCCGTATGTATTTGTAAAATGACACTCTTGTTAAAAAAATGAGTAGCGTGGAAGTATAACGTAATCTAAACGTGAATTATATGTGTGTGCAGACTTATTATTTAGTACACACGCATATATGGCAATATCGTTCCCCGAGCATGCCCTGTCAACAATAATATTAAGTCAACAATTTATACATAATTTGATTAAAATTTTCCAGTATTAAATATTGTCTGCACAAGGGAGGGGGGTACGACCTACAAACTAAAGGCCCCAGCAATCTCCAGGTTTTTGATCATCTGAACTTGGCAGCTCTGGATATAATGACGTAAGCAGCGAGTTTTTGAAAGAATGAGACATTGATATAATGATGTAATAGTAAGGAAGTAAGAAGGTATATTTTTAGTGGCTACACACTGAGTTTTTGAAAGAATGATACATTGATATAATGACGTAAAAGTAAGGTAAGGAAGGTATATTTTTCAGTGGCTACACGGCTACACACTGAGTTTTTGAAAGAATGATACGTTGATATGACGTAAAAGTAAGGTATATTTTTTAGTGGCTACATGGCTACGCAGTGAGTTTTTTACAGTTATGGTTTCTGAAATGTCTCCTTCTAGTTTAAGAACTTACTGCATAGCGGTGTAGCCACTAATAATGTACCTTCCCTTCCTTACCATTACGTAATTATATCAATACATAATCGTAAGGAAGGTAAACTTTTAGTGGCTACGCGGCTACACAGCTACGCAGCGAGTTTTTAAAAGAACGAAACATTGATATAATGACGTATTTCCTTGATATTGTAATTTGATAGCGAGTGACTGCGTAGCCATAGCCACTGAAAATATGGCTACGCAGTGAAAGATGACTAATGGACGGGTATTCTGCAATTTAGCCATGAAGATATGCAGGATGACAGCTGCGACTACAAATATTGGACAGAAAACTATGTTACTGAACAATGTGAGATTTTAACTGAACTTTTCCATTGAGTCATTGAGCAACAAGTGCACCTTACTTTATTCTTTCAAGGGGAAAGTCCTGTAGCTGCCAATTTCTCTTGTTAGGCTGTGGTCATTAAAAACGGAAGGGGGCGGGGAGGGATAGGAGGAATTTAAGTATAGTTGTTTTTTTTCTATATCCCCTTAAATTTGTGGGAAAATAAGGTATCTCCCCTTGCCTGAGTGGAAAAATTAGTATCCCCCCCCCCCCCAATATTGTCTCACATACAGAAAGGTAGAAAAAAATCAACCAGATGTAAAATCCATTATATGATATGCTTTTAAATATAATAGAGACCTGCAGACATGGCCATTTGTTGCTCCAAAATGCACATGGTTGTTCGTATCAACAAGGACACTGGAGGAGGCTATGCCATTGCAGGGACGGATCCAGACAATTTTCTCACTGATGCAATGAACAGGGGGGGCCTGGGGGTTCTCCCCCAAGAAATTTTGAAATCTAGGACCTCCGAAATGCGACTACCTGCACTCTGAGTGAATATTTAATACTAAATCCAGCATATATTGAACTCAAAAACAAAAATACATGAAAATATGTTACCCATACATCACAATAGCCAAGGCAAAACAAAGTTATATATATAATATATACTTTAAAGTATTAAAAACAAATATATAATCAATAAATGTAATTTTCAAAAAATACAAATAACTATTTAATTTTTCTTATAACAAGTTGACTGTCATTTTGCACATTTTTTGTAGTACTTCACTTTCACAAGAACAAAAATTTTGCAAAGAATATATCCCCCCGCATTGTTTTCTCTCTAATAGTTAATAGTATCACAAGTGGCCCAGGCTCTGTGTGGGTATTTATTTATTTTTTAATTTTATTATATTTTGCATTAAATACGACTTTAAATTATAAAGTATAATTTACTTAGTTTCCTTTATGTATTAAGTGTGATTTGGGGGTGGTTTCAGTTTGATCTAAAATATTGTAAAAACATGTCTAAATGCTCTCTGATTCAAAATATTGGCGGGCTTACTTGTTTACTGTGTCATTTACTTCACTCTCATCGATTTTCAGGCCATTTCGTTGAACCCGGCCAATATTATCCATCATCTAATATTACCCTTTACAACTGGGGCGAGACATAAATTTCAACAAAACTTGCCGTTAAAATATTGCCAAACGTTTTTAAAGCAGCGGCTACACATCTTTATGTTTATTCAATCTTCCTAACTTGTAAAATCCTTTCCATCGCTTTTCCTTGAAGAATTAGAACAACTTAATGTAAACAAAAGCACTTTCTCCACACTTGTGAGTCAATCTGCCCTGGAACCAAACCGTTAAATTTTGAATTTTTCAAACTTTGTAACCGTTAAAATATTTCTCCTCACCCTCCTGATCTATTAATGTGCACGTTACTCTTAGTGTATCCACACCGGGCAAACTGAAAAATCGACCTGACCGTGGCGGGAATCGAACCCACGATCATTGGTTTGCCAGTCCATTGCTCTACCAACTGAGCTATAAGGTCGAGTCGGTTTGAGTGTGTGATATTTTGAAACTCAATCTAGTTTCTTCAATATCAGTATGTTCTTAAATTATCATGAATTTTTATGTTGCAACTTCGACATTTTCTACCAACCTCTTTCCAGGACAATTTGCAATGGCCAATGGAAAAAGATTTGGAACTCTGTGATGGCATGTGGGACATGCCCAATGGGACAATACCAAATGATATTTGATCTTTTCCTTCAGAAGGACAAAATTAGTTTAAATTTAGTTTTTCGATGTTGAAGCAAGTCAACACATGCATGCATGAAGGGAAACATTGTAAAACTGTTTTATTGAAGTTTGGAGTCCAAGTCCTGCATGATTAACTCTATAATGCCTGGAAGTTTCCATTTGACGAGTATAATCGTATGGCGTTAGCCAGAGTAAAATACTCTGGTGTTAGCCAGAGTAAAATACTAAACTGGTACCACAGGCGTTACAAGGTTAAATGGTTAGGCATAACATTGATAAAACAGACTTAAAGTGTTTTGCAAATCAATGGATGTACGTATTTTGTTTGGTTTGGATTGTCTACTGGCACTGTGAACAGGCTATAATAAATCACTTACCTCCAGCTTTAAGTTCCCTTACGAAAATCAACACTATTTTAACCCTATTTTATCCCTATTTTACTTTCTATTTTATTCCTATAGAAAAGCTATTTTATTTTTAACCCTATCATATTGCTATCACATATACAAATCCTATATTAAACCTATTAGAACTCTGTTTTAATTGTATTTTATAGCTATTATAAATAGGTTTTTTTGAAACAAAAAATAGCCTATTTTAAATAGATTTTATTTTTCTGAATCGGTGAAGCGCAGATTAAAATAGGTTTAAAATAGGATAAAATATATTTAAAATAGAGTGCAAAATAGAAATAAAATAATAAAGTAAAGTGAAACATTGGTAATAAAATAGATTTTAAATATACATAAAATAGGTTAAAAATAGTCGAAAATACATATAAAATAGTGGATCAACCGCAGTATATTAACTAAAAATAGTAATACAATTACTGCAAAAATAGTAATAAAATAGTTTAAAAATATGAATAAAATACTGATAAAATAGTAATAAAATAGTAGAATTTAAAATATATATATATCTATAGTGATAAAATAGCGAACAAAATAGTAAAAAAATAGTTCAAAATTCTTATAAAATAGTATAAAAATAGTAATAAAATAGTCAGAAAGTAGTAATAAAATAGCTATAAAATAGCAATAAGAGAATAGTAAAATAGTCATAAAATAGCAATAAAATAGTCAGAATGTAGCAATAAAATAGTTATAAAATAACAATAAAATAGTTATATAAAAATAGTAGCACTGCAACATAGTTACTTTATAAAGTAATAAAATTGTAGCATGATAATTAAAACCAGTTAAAAAATAGTAATGAAATAATATCAAACAAGACGCTCTGCGGAGCGTTAACTCGCTGGGGCTACACAACTGACGCACATTACTGTTAAGATCTAAAGGCTGATTTCCACTGGCACTGTTGCGTTTTTCGTACTCACGTACACGCACGTAAAACTTTGAATCCTTCTATTTTTAAATATTTTACAAATAAGTTAACAAATTCATACTAAAACATGCGGAGCAGTAAATTCTGTTGCTTTATTTATTTGGTTATTTTACAAGTTTTACGTGCGCGGTATATTAAGCCTGGTGTGGAAATTAAGCCTTGCCCCGAGCTAAGGGGAAACTTCCGGCGTTTATGCCCACAAGTAAAGTTATATTTTATAGTACGCTGCATTCTTCTGTCGGTCGCCAGTTTAAAACGTTCAAAATAAAATTTTTTGGGGCTTTTGGGCTCAAAATATTATCAAAATGAAGAGAGAAGTGAGACGAATCCACTGGTGTACGGCCGAAAAAGAAAAAAAACAATGATACCAAAGTTATCAAGGATCAAACGTACTGCATCTTTTATTATTTGAGCGATTTGTGAACAAATAATACAATTTCACTTGGCTTTCAAAGACAAAGTCAGAGACCATAAATCGCTAGAATACTGTTGTCAGTTGTTTAGTAATACATTTGACATCCGTAGGTACAATTTCTCATCCGTAAGTACAATTTCTTACGCTGAATCGAACGATGGTATTTCGGGTATTTGAATTCTTATTGCGCCATTAATTAGGCAACACAAATACAAGGTCAAGGACAAACGTACTGCGAGTGATTTGATGTCAACAATACAATTTCGCTTGATTTTCAAAGGCCATAAATCGCTAGAATATTGATGTTTAGTAATACATTTGACATCCGTAAGTACAATTTCTTACGCTGAATCGAACAGTGGTATTTTTATTCTTATTGCGCCATTTATAAGAGGCATTACAAATACAATATCATGTTTCGCACTGAGTACACTACAAACAGTTTTCACAGACTGTTGTTCGATAAATTTTATATTGATATGACACCAATATGCTTCTCATGAAGTAGTTAGAACTTAAACTGCACAACGTAGTTTTAATAAATAACCTTTTACCTTGAAATTGTCTTTGGGTCTTTATATTTAGATTCAGTACGTATATTATGATCGTGCACGGGAATTCAGCGATCCAAATTTCGGATTTTCAGAGTCGTGCACCAAGAAAAACGCATTAAATAAATGAGCATGAATGTCCAGAGTTAGACACAAAGCAAAATGCATAGAAAACAGGTACAATTCGGCCAAAATCTTCACGAAATGGGGCCCTGAATTGTTTGAAACATTTTGCCCACTCCACGAAAGGCCCCGCCATTTTGAAAAGGATCAAGCAGCTCATTAATATTCTATTTTGTGGCTATCGACGATCCGTGATCCGTGACAAATGCAAGCCGAAACCTATACTCGTCTGGGGCACAGCGAGTAATTAGCTGAAAACTAGCAATGTAGTACCATGGTTGACAGGTATATTATCGTTTAAAATTGTATAAAATAATACACATAAAACAGTTTGTATTCTTATTAGCTGTCAATGCTAGGTCGTGGCAGTTTAAGGGCGGCAGGGATGAATGTGGCAGTTTAAGCAGTGTCAAATCAATGGCATTGTTTACCACAGTCAGAGTTACCAACGTTTGAGTAACTGTAAGGAATCTATTACACGATTGGGTTTCAAATCAATTGCAGGATGAGCAGTCTAGTAGTCTACTAGCAGTTAGACCCATGCCACCAAGCATCTTGCAGATCAAGCAGTTATTGCCAATACATGCGAGCTTAATTGTCAGTATTAAAAGGTGAAAAAATGGGCAAGCAGACCATAGTCGATAAGCAAAATTGTCTAGCTTGAGACCTCACAGTTAAATATTGTGTGCAGAACTTAAAGTAGGGAGTGTTAAGGAAAATTACATCTAAATATGTCAACATGAAACATCATGGGCATGGAACACATGAGTCTAGCTGGACACTTTCCTTGGCAAATAAAATTGTCCAACAATAGGCAAGATACAAAAACATTTAAATATTAACAAACTGCTGAAAATTGGGTACTTCGCAGTGAAATGGGTAATTTTATTCAAAAAAAAAATTAGTTCACCCTTGTCGTGACTTGCCGGGGTGTCTCTAAAGATATATATAAAATGTAGCCCAAAGGTTGTTACATATATTATTAAGCAGATCATGCAGGTGGTATAGATAAATGTATTAATATATTATAAACTTTGAACAAGCAAACAAAGGACTTTGACTGTTTCCAGTTACAGCATTTCCATAATCAAGTTGCCACACAACAAATTGATCAAATTGACATTTTTACCTATTAACCGACCCACCCGGCATTAAAAAATTCAAGCATGGCATACAAAGGAAATTGAAATTAACCCTCTATACCCATTCCATTGATATCCTAGTGCATTGTACTATTACCCTCTGATATTAGACATGGTAAAATGAAACAGCACTGAAAGAATCCAGCTTTGACGCAACCAACACCTGGTGTTAGACTGAGGGTGAAAAAAAATTAAAGTAGGGTATATAAGTGCTATAATGGTAAAGTGCATGAGACATCCTTTTCCGGCTGATAATTTCAGCAAATATATTAGATAGATATAAGTAGAATATAATATAATGACATGTCTTGCAAATATAACGACATATCTTGTGAAACACTGGTGAAGGTGAATCATATTTGATTAAAAACATACAGTTTTTATAAATTGTGTGTTAATTACTGTATTATATATATTATATATATTATATATATAATGCACTCCTTATTCAGAATAACTTTTATTCTATGACTATTGTAACTGAGACATGCACATTTAGCTGGGATATGCCTAGGTATTTATAAGCGTATAAAGAATTGAGGATTTTCTTCCCAACTGCTCAAAATTTCCTTATTTTTGACAAAAATTCCTTTGATGAAGATGAATTTTACCTAGTTTAAAACTGATATTACAATAATTCATCTTGAATGACGGTGTATTTCTCGGGCGAGAAACACCATGAACGTTGCAATTATAAATTATAAATTAATTATAAAAAACTGCAACAGGAGGCTTGAGGTCATGCCTCAGAAATTCTTCAGATTTTCCATTCCCCAGAAGTAGTTTGGATTTTCGACATTTCCTGACGCGAATTTGCTTGGGAATTGCTATAATCTTAGGATTTATTAGAAATAACGTAATATCCTTATTTGCTTGCTGAAAACAAAATTCCTTGCCGTTTCCTAGTAAATTTTATTTCTTTTTGCAAAGAAATTTCCTTGCAAGTGGAAGCACTGCATGGGATGACCAGTGGGGACGACACTGTACGCAATAGTTGAAGCCTCCTCCTTTTCTCACCCTCCGCCCCTCACCCCCTTCCATTATTAATGATTGGTCCCTTATCTGTGTAAATGTAAAATACGGTTCTATTTTATTTCATTGCTAAGTAGGAAAATTCAGTATGTTTAATTTAAATAGACTATTTTATACATATCTGCGAATTGTAATCCTGAACTCCTGTAAATGTAAAATAGGATTAAAATAGTGTATTTTATTCTATTTTGCAAATTAGGGAAAGTAAATAGGTTTAAAATAGTATATTTTATCCCTATTTGAAAAATGTGGCATTTTTAAAATGTGAAATAGGTTTAAAATAGTCTATTTTATTCTGTTTTATGTATTCTGAAAAATAAATAGTTTTAAAACACTATATTTTATATCTATTTTAATTTATGTAATTTTCTGCACGTGCAAAATATGTTTAAAATAGTCTATTTTATTGTTATTTTACTAACTATGAAGGAAAGATAGGATTAAAATAGTATATTTTATTCCTGTTTGAAATTTGTGCATTTAACTTGCAATGTAAAATAGGATTTAAACAGCCTATTTTATTTTGAGTTTAAAAATAGTATATTTTATATCTATTTTAATTTCTAACTGCTTTTTAGTGAAGTAAAATAGAATTTAAATAGGCTATTTTAAACCTATTTTTTCCCTGAAGCTCTGGAAAATAGTATTAAAATATGCGATTTTATTTCTATTATCTATAAAAATAGGAATAAAATAAAACATTAATAAAATATGGATCTTTCTTTTGGTGAAATATTATGATAGAATTAAAATAGGGTTGCTTCTGAATAAAATAGCATAAAAATAGGGGTGATAGTAATAAAATAGTTTTAAAATAGCAATATAATATAGTTATTTTCGCAAGGGTTGAAATTCAGCTTGTCCCCATTCGCTTCATCTAACTTGTTCAGCCTCATCTCTCCTATACACCAGGCCAGTGCTGAAATTAGACTTACTTGCCCATCTTGGATCATTTTTGGCAGATCTTATATTCCCATTGCCTCTGTCATTTCCCCAAACACCACTTCTCTAATTACTTTAATTTGCCCTTTTGTTGGCAAGATGGAAAAATCAGAATTTTTCTAAGACAAAAAAATCAATATTTGAGAAGAACCACATGCAAAACTTTATATCAAAGAAAACCGAAAAGAAAAGTTGTCATTTTGTGTTGTACAATTTGTCTCTAACATTGAGCAATGTTACCACCTCGGTCCAAACAAAGGTGAAAATGAAAGCTTTCTGATAGCTTGTTTATTAATCACATCTAAATCAATAAAAGTATATTTTCCACTGAGTGAGGAATGAAAGAAGGGGAAAATATTTTCTCACATACCATGGAGTGGTCAGCATGTTGGCAGACATTGTGGGTTATATGTAACCTGAGATCAGGGTCTATTTATTAATTAATATAGCCTGACACAAACCTTTAATCCAATCGCTTTCCATCCACAAAATAAGCAAAGCGGAGGGTTTAAACTGCAGGTTGCAGGTGTGCAGGTGTGCAGGTGTGCAGGTTGCAGGTGTGCAGGTTGCAGGTGTGATATTCTAGTACAAGATCAAAACTTGACATTCATGAAAAAGTGTGAAGCACGCATAAAATTTTATCTTAGCTAAGTTTGAATTCTCTTTTATAATTGATTTTGTCACTCTTTGCGAGAAACGTCCGCCATATTTAATTCTTAGCTCAAAAACACCTGATATCCCATATTATCAATAGTTTTCCCCCATACCGCCAAAACATGTGATCACAGAGTAGGTACCACTGATATACAGTAGGTACATAGTAGGTACATAGTAGGTACATAGTAGGAACATAGTAGGAACATAGTAGGAAAATAGTAGGTACATAGTAGGAACATAGTAGGTACATAGTAGTTACATTAGTACCTACTCTGTGATCACATGTTTTGGCGGTATGGGGAAAACTATTGATAATATGGGATATCAGGTGTTTTTGAGATAAGAATTAAATATGGCGGACGTTTCTCGCAAAGAGTGACAAAATCAATTATAAAAGAGAATTCAAACTTAGTTAAGATAAAATTTTACGCGTGCTTCACACTTTTTTCATAAATGTCAAGTTTTGATCTTGTACTAGAATATCACACCTGCAACCTGCACACCTGCACCTGCAACCTGCACACCTGCAACCTGCACCTGCACACCTGCAACCTGCAGTTTAAACCCTCCGTAAGCAAAGTTTAGATTTAGTATCCCTCAAAATGTTGCAGGAGAAATTTAAATTTCACACAACGACAACAACAATCTAATTATGGTTGTGATCATTATAAAATGTATGAACAACAATAGTATAATCTAATTAGCACCAACGAATCAAATGACATGTTAAAAAATCTTTTGTCTCATAGACCAATCAGATTTACAACCGAAATACGGTTGTAAGGCATGGACCTTTGTTATCGTCTTTATCAGGCATATTTATTTATAGGCCTGATCGCAGGTTAGGTTATATAAAGCAGATTTTTCTTTTGCTCACCGTAGCTTGATCAGTACCTAACCTCCTCTGCAGGCAACTCTGTATTGTTTTGTACAACAGGTTTTTAACTCTTATTTGTTTTGTATTGTAAATCAAACTTTGGCAAAGCTTCAAGCAAAATAGTTTTAGGCAAAAAAATCCCAAATATAAAACCTGTTATACAAAACAATACAGAGTACAAAACAAAACAATACATGTAGGCTATAACAGACCCACCCTCCCATACCATTTGGCTTTGGTTATGTGGAAGATGTGAAAATATGTGAGAAAATTGTATTATGCATACAGTATGTTTAGCTAACTGTATATTTCTTGCGAGTAATTGTATGATGAATATTAAAATATACTGGCAACCTTCTCAGGTTCACCCTTGTGGTATAACCAGACAGGTATAATACCCATTAAACTGATATCGAAGGAACTAGACTCAGTTCCGGAATATCGCATACTCGTCCTGACCACGTAGCTCATTGGGCTAGTATTCCAAAGGTTGTAGGTTCGAATCCCACCATGGCCAGGCATATTTTTCAAGCCTGCCGGTGTGGATATACACTCAGAGTAACATCACACAAGCATCATAATCACCAATAGGTCAAGACTTACCCCTGTGCTCCCTAACTACATCAAGTTTAATCATGTTTGCCACCCTGCATCTGATATTTGGAGTTTTAATTTAAGGAGCAAATACATCCAGTCAGGCACACGAACAGATGCCATCAATTCCAAATAACTGTGCTCTGATAAAACAACATTTAATGCTTTCTTCGGCCTGAGTTTTGAGAACACAACTTCTGTCGAGCATGAAAGGATATTTGAGATCTCTGAATGTTCGTCCTGTGACGCGACGTTGCCGAGGGTCATGAAGATGTCTTCGTTGTGCACGAATGCCACTGCCACTCAGAGGATTTGCAAGAACAGCTCCTGTTTCCAATATTCGACGTTTCTTTTCAGGTGGCATAATTTCAGAGGATTCAACAATATCAGTTGTGCACAAGAATGTTCTTTTCGGGGTTTGCACCAGATTTATAGGACATTGTTCTACAGAATTGGTGCTTCATTCAAGTGCTACAATGTTAACTGCTGCCATCATTTGCTGGAACATTGTGCTCCTGAATACACCCTGGTTGATGTCGCGCTGTCACAGGGCCAATGCTAAAATACGAAGTGATGAAATAACAGATCTCCTCTCTCATTCCAAATATTTTGGACGATACTTGCCTTCTGTTGCCGTCTCGAAGATCACTAATGTTTAGCTGTTTGATCGTTCCCTGCATGCGAGTGTTGCCGGTTTCTCTTCTGGTAACCAACAATTGACATGTTGTAGGCATACCAGTTTTTTTGAGGATCAAGCTTGTCTGAGTAAATGTGTTTAAATGCCATGAACACTTCACATGCTGTTCGCTTCAGACATTTGGTGCAATTGAATTTGGCGCCCAAAATTTTGTAAACTTCTGTTCTGAAGTTTTCATATGCAGTAATTGGTGATGACAAGTCACTTCATAAACTAGATTAGTAATATTTTTGAATGATTAAACTACATCTCATTACTTGGCATTCAATTACATACAAAGGAAAATAATCCAGCCTATTAATTGGAAATAAATGTCAACACCTTTCACACTTTTCCCATTAATGCTGCATTAATCAACACCTAAAAGTTAATCCTGTTTAAACCCAGGCGGCTGGTCATGTACTAGGCCATTAACCACCTTTGTTTCAATCTCTTGAGTTCTGTGCATGGTTGTTAGCACCAACATGGTGTCCTCGTCATTGATACCAAGCTTTTCCATTGTTTCTGTCTTAATAAATGTTCTGCCACTTCTGTTGTCCAATAAAGCATTACACTTTGATTTTCTTTTCAGGTTCACTCTTGTGGTATAACCAGACAGGTATAATACCCATGTTGACAGGAACGTCATCAGCCTCAGTAATACTGCACACAGTAAGTCCACTGTTTACCTGTTCTTGATCATTCTTTTCAACATTTTATTTAGACGTAGTTTGGCACTTCTTACACTTCGAAATGATCTCCAAAGTGTTTCTTTAGCAAGGCTTTAGCTTGGACATACAAATCATCTTTCACTTGAATACATCCCTTAATAACCTCATTCACTTTTTCGGTGGTATATCGATCTACGAAATACAACTGTTCAATAGGGCTCTCCACCTTAGATTTGATTAGTGACTCTAATGCATTGATGAATCTTGAATATTCCATGAAATCCCCTGAAAAGGTAGGAGGTTTATGAGATGGGAGTGAACTTCGAACTTGCCACACCATAATCATTTTGGAAATGCTAGCTTGCTTCTTCTGAACTTTGAGGAATTTGTCATACATACTGTTATTCAATGGCAGTGTTTGCTGAATATCTTGATCAGAGGGTTCAGCGATCGCTTGGGTGTTTGTTGAAACTTGAGGTTCTGTTCATTTACCTTGGTTAGAGACGAATGGTAAGGCTTCGGGATTTGACCCACCCCTTTTTTTTGCTGGCCCACCCCCAATCATAAATAATGAATGGTCCCTTACTCATTTGAGCACCGCAGTGGTTTTTAAATTTTCAGAACTTTCAAAGCAGTGCTTATTCGGGGGCGGTGCTCAATTGGGGGCAGCGCTTTTTAAAAAACCTTTTATTTGTGAATTATAAGAACTTTTAACAATAAAATAAACAAGTTTTAAAGGTCTTTGTCATTAAATGTCTCCACGGTAGATTACATTTATATGTTTATATGTACTATTTACAACACAAGCAGCCATGTCACTTGCTGACTAGCACTTACTCATTTTCTTTTCTGCCTGCTTTCTCTGATCCCACTTTCCCAATACATATCATTCTTCAGAGTATAACCTCTAGGTCTTCTTTTGCAATCCTGCAGTTCCATTGCCTTTTCTCAAGTCGAAGTAGATCACATGCCAAGTCCCATTTGTTTGAATTTTGCAGAACTATACTCTGAGCAACGTCATTATTCTTTTCCACCCCCTGTCCTGTAAAATCTTTACCAACCCGTAAAGCTCTAAAAACCTTGGAAAGTGCTGTACCATGATGTGCATATAGGGGGTTATCCTCCTCTCATAGCCCTCCCTCTTACCATTCATGGAAAGGAATACTTTTACCCAGTCCTTAGCCATTATCCATAATTATGTCGGATTTTCTTCAGGGCTCCAGTTAGTTATTACTTTATATAGCTCATAATAACTTTTCCATATTGTAATAATTCCATCAACAGTTTGGGTGCAAAATTGCAACCATCTTTTGAGGTAACTCTGCCAGAAGATAATGAATAATTATTTACGTACCTATGATCCAGGCTATACATCACGTCATTACGACGAAAATAATTTCTATTTTATTACCAAACATAAGCAGGACTACTTCAGGAATTCGTTTTTTGTAAGGTCAGCAAATCTGTGGAACAGCCTCTCATCGCAACTTAAGAGTTGTACATCAATATCTGTATTCAGTTCCAGACTACGTAAAATGTATAAAGAACGACTGCTATTTTACAGCCCTCCTGGCTGTTCTTAACTTTATAATATCCTATGGCATGGTTTCCTATTCATGTAATGTGTTTGGTAGATGTATAGTCATTTATTAGGAGTTAGGTGTCAATTGGGATGCAAGTCCTGTTCCTCTCTCCAGTCACACCTATGTTGTATTTTTCATGTTCTATACTAGTGTCAGTAATCTTGTTTGTATGTAAATGAATTGTGACAAATCAAATTTAAATTAAATTAAGATGCTTCTTAGACTTCTTATCTGATCCCAGCAAGCTGGTCCAGTCATGTTGGCCACTTGATTTCCCATCAACATCTCTCTTTTCCCACACATCAAAAGACACACCACAAGATCTAACCATCTCAATTAGCTTCTTTAGGTGAAATCCACAAACTGCATGATCCTCTTGGACAGTCAATCTTTTCCTCTTTGTCCCAATCAATTCATTCCAACACCAAGTTCTCAGTAAGAATATCTGTCACATGAAGTAGCAAGTGCAGTTCATCTGGTACAACATGGTCAAGATCAATGTTAAACAAGGGTGGTTGATGACAACAGTAATGTTGGAAAGTCAGGTTTGCAATGTGCTTATTTAGCAACTGATGTTCATAATTATAATACCGAAGTACTTGAAATCATTTTGAAATACTGGTTTAATATTTTTCCTTAAATTCTAAAAGCTTGCTTTACTGCTAGGATCAAACAACGAATCCCTTCATCTTCAATGTGCTTATTTAGCACCTGATGTTCCTAATTATAATACCGAAGTACTTGAAATCATTTTGAAATACTGGTTTAATATTTTTCCTTAAATTCTAAAAGCTTGCTTCACTGCAAGGATCAAACAACGAAACCCTTCATCTTCAAAAGTTACTTCAGTACTTTGATTAAAAAATTCAGTTATCGGGCTGGCTCGGGTATTGGACAAATATTCAAAATTTAGTAGTAATTTAAGAATATTCAAAACAAACTCTGGAAATGCATTTTGGAAAACGGTTGGCTGTAGCTCACTGTAATACAAGACACAATTTTTGTTGGCTAATTTTCCACCAACGCTCCTTATACAAGCGGCCCTGTGTTTGTAAGATTGTCGCTTGGAAAACACTTTAGAATGGTAAAAACATTGTCTTTGTTATGTAAGTTGTTTACATGTGAAAGATTACCAGCAGTTCTATAGATCAAACTGTGTATCATACCTTCTCATATGCTCAAAGAGACCCTTGGATGTATAGTCATGGAATAAACTTCGACGGAATGTGTTGAAGTGGGGTTTCAACAGCAACTTTGTATGCCTGTGTTTTCCCCCTACCAGGCTCACACAGGCAGGCCGTAAATATATTACAAGGCTTGAGGTGCCGTGGACGAATTTCGAATTTGCATCTGGGCCCATTAAACAAGATGTGACAGTAAGTGCACCAAATAAAATTAACTCTGGTTGAGTTGAATGTACGATGAGTGGAGCCGGCACCTCCCACTGGGTGAATTCCATTCTTGTTATGAAACGACAGCATCAAGAGACATTTGAGGAGTACCTAGAGGGCGACGGTGAACAATACCACCCTCCAATGAAACGGAAATGCAATGAGCAGACTGAATCAACTGGAAAGGCAAGTAGCAGATGGAATTACAAAACAAGAAGCTTGTGAGGCTTTAATGGGGCTACATGCATTAACAGGTCGCGACACAGTGTCAGCCTTCCCTTCGAAGGGCAAATTGCAGCCAATGCAGATGCTCATCAAGAATCATATCTATGTGAAGACAATGAAAGACATTGGCAAGGAATGGAGTGTAAATGATGATACATTTAGCGCAACAGAAGAGTTTGTGTGTCATTTATATGGAAGAAAAGGTACGAGTGTGGATTCATTGCGATATGAGCTCTGTTATGCGAAAGGTGGAAAGGTCACGCCAGAAGCATTGCCGCCATGTCAGTCATCGCTGTGGCTGCATGTGTCTCGTGCAAACTATATCAGGCTGCTATCTGGAGGAGAGCTACAGAAGCGTGTCCTGATATCCCTTCTCCGCATGAGCATGGCTGGAATGCAAGCTCTTCCATTTTAGAATTTATATGGCTTGGTTCGAAGCCTGACCCTGAAGAAGTGATGGAGCTATTTTCCCAGTGGCGTAACTCCTATGAGCTATACCCAGTAAGAGCCGGGGATACCCAGACCATCAGGCTTCCTGGGGGACACCCTGAACTGAGTTGTCTGGGAGCCTTGTTCATCTAATTTCCGTTTTGTACAACTATTAAGAACCTTGCATATTGAGATTTTCAGTATCAACTGCACTAGCACAGTTAGTATACAGCTAATTCAAAAAAGGTTGTCCTTTGCAAACCATAAACTCTAAATCTTTACTCTAAGTGTGCAAAGCATAATGGGAGCATCATTTATCAGTTTAGAAATTATATGTGGGGCCCATTTCTTGGAGACATGGTAAATATCTGCTTATGAGAACAATTCAATCACAAATAGCTGCAATATTCAACTACTAAAGCTTGAAACTTGTGCTCCATTAAGCTTTGCACGCTTACAGTTTAAGGTTCAGAATTTAAGGTTTTCAAAGGACAACCTTTTTTGAATTACTGTATAACGTGACTCCAGAAGTCGAAAAGAAAAAAGGCAAAGTACATATGTGCTATGGAAATAATATCTTCGGAGCCAATGGCAGTGAAGAAGTACATGACGGGTCCCGAAAAACAGAACTGACAAACAACCGATCTTGTCAGAACTATACAGTTTTTCTTTCAATAGAATCATCAACCGACGATCATCAACCGATCAAGAAGCTTGCACAGCAGCTGGGCTTCATAACCACTGCAGGAGAAGATAGAAAGTGGACTCTGAAAACACTTTGTACAACTCGCTGGTCTTTGTGAATTGATACAATCAGGGCAACTAGGAACAGGTTGGGTGATATCAGTCAGCTGAAGAAAGGATACATCAAAGAAAACGCCTTGTTTAAAACGTAAAAAAACGTGCGGAAATGTTTGCGGTTTGTGCTTAAATGCAAATAGCTGTAAGTGCAGTGGCAAATATTTCACTGTTTATGTCAAAGAAATATCTGCATGGTGTTATTTTATGGTTGTGTTTTTTGTATTTTGCTATATATTTATATTTCCAGTTTTAGGAAGCCCATTAAAATTGTCTTTTAAACAACTAACAAAATATTCACATTGTCAGAGCTTTATGTTATATTTCAAAAGGATGTGGGATGCCCCTGCCTTGGGGGCACCCAATCCCGGTAGGACCAGGGGCAGCCTGGTCCAAACTTACGCGCCTGCACTCTTCTGCACCTGCAAACGCAGGGGTACAGAAGATATATGCTGCTGCCTCAAAGCAGGTCTGAAATGCATCGAGACGTTCAGTTTTAATTGTGACAATATGCCATCTGAAGATGATGAAACAGTTCTCAGCACCGATAGCGACGATGAAGATGACGAATACACATGTTAAAAGTTAAGAGAGGAGATCTACAGTTTGCAAAATTTTGATACCAAAACGTAAAAGATAACAAATTGGTAGTTGAGCAAGTGTATAACTTCGCTAAATCAAATAACAAAACGTTTCACTCATTTTAATGAATAATTCTGAAATCAACAGTAACAAACTATCCTAAATTTATACTTCATTACCACACAATTTATATTTGTTTAGAAATAAAGAAAATACTTCCAATGGACAATACTTGTCAACAAACAAAACGAAGGATGATTAATTGAACCACATGCAACAATGGGAATTAAATAACTCTTAAACATTGCAATTCTACATAAAGTACCGGTCATTATTTATCGAGGGGGTGAATAGGTAAAAAAGGGGATGGGTGGCCGGGTGGGGAGTGCCATTCATTATAAACCCTATGCCAACAGATGGAAAAATTTCGAGTCTTTTCAATTTTCATTTAATTAATAATTGACAGCATACACTGAACAGTTCATCAACAAAGAGGAAGGGGTATGTTAAAGCAAAATATATTCAGCTGCTTAGATATTTTTGAAAGCTTAAAAGAGAAGGTGTTATATATGGTCCGTTGCGATTTCTTCACTTATAACTACAAAGTTTTAAGTAAATTCGAACTTGTTGACAATCAATACGAGAATTTAAAGTTAAACTATGCTACAATCGCTACTTGACAGGAGTGAGAAAGTATCTGAAAACCTTAAAGAAATGATCCAATAAAAGTTCTAAGTATGTCAAAAGATATATAAAACCCGCAGCTACAATTTTTGGACCAGGAACTGGTCCCCAATCGCTGCTAATAGTCTTGTTGTTGTTGTTGTTGTTGTTAAGGGGGTGACGCTCTTTGAAAAAACCCTAAGGCTCCGTCGTTACTTGCTCGATCAGAATGAAACTTGACACAATTATTCTAAGCAATATTCTGCATTGATTGACGGTGTTCGATTTTTCATTTTTACTTTAGAAGCAAAATATGAGCAATTTTTTACTGTATTTGTAGCAGTTAATATATACATATCATTAATATTCAGCAAATATATCAGCAATATATAATAATAAGAAAGACATTGTCTTCTCTATTGTTCGTTGTGAACACAATCACAATAGTCTAAAACTTCTCAAGAATGTGGACGACTAATTAAAAGATTAGTTATAAGCGTTAAGACTTAAGTTGACTAATTTGACATGCTGGCCTCATTTCTCAAAGCGCAGAGGAGAGAATACCCTATCTGGCCATCATATAATATTCATAGTCATGCATAGCCGAAAAATCGCGAACCATAAAAACAAAGACATGTCAATTGTTTTTAGCACAAGCATGCAGTTCTGAAGCCATTACAAAGCGAAATAAACTGCATTAACTTATAGCAACAATTCAGATAATTTGTTATTTTAACTTAAATCCTGTTTACACGGCACGTACACAACTACAGCTGCAATATTTTGCAACGGCACGAACGGCATGGCAAAATTTGTTATGGCAAAAGTTAAATTTAGGCACGGCATGTTTAGTCTTAATATTGTGGCACATTTAACTTAATTATCTATCTAATTCGAATGCGAGTATATACTTTTGAAAACTGTGCATTTAGTTATCTATGCTTTGTCCAGATATACTCTCATTTATACACGGCATGAGTAGACACATGTTTTTGCCCAGATAAAGTATATCTTCCATGACCAAATTAAAGCAAAACATTTAGCGAACTTAGTCTACGCTGCCATGCAATTTTGAGAATTATTAGTTTTACAAGTGCCTAGTTATTTGTTTATCAAGTCAAAATCTCGATTACTCAAAGGTTTTCAACATTTAACGATTTGCACAAAATCGAAACCGGGTCACACAGTTCCTGGTCCACTATAGTACGATTGTACTTGTTTGAGGTAAGACATCCTTTATTTAACACCTATTGGGTTGTTTATGTCTGAATATTCTTAGGTGGGATTTTCTCTGAGAGACAAAATGGCGGCTGTTCACTGTTTCAAAGTATGTCACTTCAAAGTAGAAATTCTATAGGAAAGCTACTGTCCTGAACGTCCGCCAAGACATTTTTTGAAAGCTAAAACACTAAGCTTTCATATGTGATCAATTTCGTTTGTTCCCCTGAGATGAGTATTACAACTCCCTCACGTGATGGACTATTGCTCTCCCTTCCGAGACTAACATACATCGCATCTCTTGCAATAATTTTCCACAAATTTCCTTGAGTTTAACCAGTAGAATCTGTCCCGCACTTGAGGAGTTATGTAGATGTTGCAAGATATCGCTCTGAATTGCTTTCTGAGCCAAGAGCAAATTTTTCACCTTGTGTCCATCTGCTTCTTCCCAATGCTAATAGAGGACCATTAATAATTTTTAATGAACCCATTTTGCCCAGTACAACTTAGTTGTTGCACTACGGGCTGTGACATCACTCCAGTCCGGTTGATTGTACTTGGATTTCCAGCGAAGAATAGGGCCTATGTCAGGATCTTAATTTTGTAGAGCAATTAGTTCTTTGCATGACCAAATCTTCAATGGCATTCTGTCATCAACTGTCGGATTTATAACTTTAATTTTACTATAATATAAGTGCTGTAAATATGTTGAAACTGTGTCTTGCAAAATTATACTAATAACACGTATTCTTATTTCAATTAGTTGTGTGACGCATGTATGTCAAAGATTATTGTAAGTTTGTTATAGATAAGCTGAATTCAAGCCAAAGTATGTTAATAACATTGTTGTATGTATTGCATGATGAAAATATGTAGGTATGGTTTCCGGACTGAAGTTATAAATGAACGCTAATTTAGTGAGAATGGTTAGAGGTCGTAAAGTAAAAGACCGGATTGTTGTAATTAACGTATAGTATTTGTGTGAAATAAACTTTGTAAAACGAAAAGTGAGTGTTGAACCAGCCGTGCAGAAATATTCGTTGAACGAAGCCAGCGAATTCTGCGACAAGTGGTCCTTCGAGCCGGATAAAACGAGTAAACTGTTGATAATAAAGTGAAATTATGGCAGATTTAGCGAAACCGAGAAAAATATGAGGAGGTCATCGTGGTTATTTAACCAAGATACTCGCTCAAGCTACAGGGATGTTAGAGAACTTCAACGAGGAACTTCGAATTGAAGCTTCTCAGCTTAGGGAAAGTATAGTTGATGCTGTAACAAACATACAGAAACTCGATGATGAAATTCTTGAGCGACAAAGATTCGACCGAAGAGGATATGAAAGAGATTGAGGATGCGGGAAAATTGAGAGCGGATGCTAGAAAGATTGTGAAAAAGCTTGACGAGAAATTGTGTGAGAATAACGTTACCTCCGTTGTGGAATCAAGTGCTGGGTCAACGTCGAATGAGTCAGTAACGACTGCGAGTAAAGTCCGAGCCAAGTTACCGAAATTGGAAGTTAAAAGATTTAAAGGGAACGTGTGCAAATGGCAAGAGTTTTGGGACTCGTTCGAGAGTTCAGTACATTTGAATGACGGTTTATCTGACGTAGATAAATTTAACTACCTTCGAGGGCTTTTAGAAGAGCCAGCAAAGTCATGTATCACGGGATTTTCGTTGACTGCGGCGAGTTACAAGTCGGCTGTTGATATTTTAGAGGAACGTTACAGGAAAAAGTCAGCCGTGCAACGTGCACATATGCAGCAGTTGATGAAAACCGAGTGTGTTAAAGATGAGAAAGATCTGGTGTCACTGCGACGTTTATGTGATTGTGTTGAGACGCACTACAGGGGTTTAGAGGCGCTGGGTATCGAGAAAAATACGTATTCGTCAATCGTTGTGCCTCATATATTGGATTGTTTACCCGAGTCTGTGCGGTTAATCATCACAAGAGAAAAGGACTTCCACAAGTGGGATGTAGAGAATCTACTAGAGCCCTTGAAAAGGGAGATTGAATTGCGTGAAGAACATCGCGAGCCAGAGCGCAAGGGTAGTCGAGAGTTTGTCGAATGCTCAAGCTGGAAAAGAAGTCCTTTGTCGGCCCAAGCTTTACTCACGAAGTCAAGAGTAGAAGCCTGCGCTTCCTGTTTGGGTATACATCACCATGAAGACTGCAATCGAGTGAACAGTAAGGAGAAACGTAAGGAACTTTTAGTAAAGTACTCTCGTTGTTTTAACTGTTTGAGAAAGGGCCATTTGGCACGTAATTGTAATGTTAAAGTTAATTGTAATACTTGTAAAGGGGAGCATCACACTGCTTTGTGTGATCAGGGAAAGGTACATAAAAGTAAGCCCAAGGGACCTGAGGCAGATGGAGGGGATAGGGAGGTAAGCACCATGTTAATTGTAAGTCCAGAAAATAGTATAGTTTCTAAGTCTTGTTCTAAAGTTGTGTTGCAGACGGCTCAAGCAATGTTGGTTGGCAAGAAAAGCGGTCGTGTGAGAGATTGAGAAGTTTTTAGGTCGACGACTTAGCTACTGGCGAAGCTTGCACAGAAAGTGCGTATTTGTTATATACTAAGGCTAGGGAGTACATGAACGAAGGTGGTTTTAAGTTGCGTAAATGGCACACTAATGATAGTGAATTAAGGACGCAAATACAAGAAAGCACCAAGGATTTAGACAAACATGTAGAAGAGGCTGAAGAGCAAACATATATATGCGAAGGAAATGCTTGCGTGCCAGGCCGGAGGCCAGTTTGGCAAGGTGCTTGGATTGGAATGGGATTGCGTACACAACTTAATTAGATTTGATTTTGACCACTTGACTGAAAAAGCGCAGAATTTAGAGCCTACTAAGCGAAATGTTTTGAGTCTTCTAGCTTGTATTTTTGATCCCCTAGGACTTTTGAGCCTGACTGTTGCTAAAGCTAGAATTCTTTTTCAGGATATTTGTATTAGTGGTCTAGATTGGGACGATGTTTTGACCAGGAGCTTGAGAGAGAGATGGTAGAAATGATTGAAGGATTTTAGTGAAGCAAAATGTGTGACAGTTGAGAGATATGCGAGCATATCAGACAATAGTTCACGGCAGTCAAGCAGAGCAGAGTATTGGTTACATGGGTTTGGTGATGCATCAAAACGAGCATATTGTGCGGTTATTTATCTTGTAACCATAGTGAGCGACAAGGCACAGGTTAAGTTAGTAGCCAGCAGGACTAGAGTATTAAAGAGCTTAGTATACCCCGACTAGAGTTTATGGCAGCTAGGATTTTAGCGCAATTAATGGATGCAGTTAGACAAGCGCTAGAACTAGAATACAAGTTTGAAGGCGTGAGATACTGGACTGACAGTAAGACTGTATTGTGTTGGATAAGTAATACAGGTAGCTGGAAGCAGTTTGTTCAACACAGAGTGGACGAGATTTTGAGAATAAGTTCGAAGAGTGACTGGGGCCATTGCCCAGGTATAGAAAATCCCGCAGATTTAGGGTCGAGAGGGGTTTTAATAACAGAACTTAAAAATAGTGATCTTTGGTGGTCAGGGCCGTCATGGCTGAAGGGTAATCCTCACTGAGCTATAATATAACTGGAGGAAGTGCTCGGCATCAAGAGGTGAAGCCAAAAACATGGCGGATTTTCACGTTTGCTGATGCCAGAATGACGCCACTGGTCCCAAATCCTCATGGTAATTACCACTGAGCAAGGTTCATTTTGAGCCCCCGCTACCACTTTCACATCTCCCTGATTTTTGCAAAAATATTTTAGCTTTTTGTTTTGAAGTTTGCCTCGGTGCTTGCATTTTCTTTGACATTTTAACATTAAGAATCATCCTGGCTAGTTTAAGAATCATCCTGGCTAATCGAATTGTCAAACCTCAAGAAATTTCGGAAAGACGCTGTTTTGTAGAGGTAAAAATATACTGTTTATGTGTTCAATATTAATTTGTGATTTTGTGATAGAGTAGGTCAAAACAAAGCGAAATAAACAGCCTATTTGTGCTGTGTAGTGGGCAATTTTAGCAACTGATGTATACAATTAGGTTGCCCAAATTATATTAATACGAGAAACAATCTTCCTCGTAAGAAAATGGTTGAAATTTCAGATTTTAGTTCCATTTGTTTTTTCAAATTTTACGATATAAAGTGCGAGTTACCACCGTCTGCTTCATGATACTACTTAGTAAAATTGAAGTGTTTTCTATTGTATTAGTATACCTATAGAATTCAATTCTACCAACTTCTGTTGAAGCCAGTTTTATTTTACTTGTCTAACGCCAGACGATTTTACCATAGGCGTACGAGACAGGGGGCAGGAGAGACAACCACATTACTGCAACCCAAACTTTTGGAAAACCATGGAAATTTGAGCAAATGCTAGAAGAACTCGAGAAAATTTGGGCAGATTTATCAGAAAATAGGGTTAAATTCAGGCAATTTCATTACAATCCTCCATAAAAATTCAGGCAAACTTTCAACTTCCCCCTGGAAAGCATCAGCCCTGTATGCCTTAATGGATTTTACTCATCCATGGGGAAGTTCTGCAGCTTACAGTATTCTTGATGATATTTGATGTTGGTAATTGATCATGCATTTTTGGAGGAAAATATTTTAAATACACAGTGGTTGTTTGCTTGACACTGAACCCCAATATTTACATACTATTTGTTTGAACTATTTTTCTGATTCTTTCAACATGCTAAAATGATACAAAATTTTAGTTGAATTCAAGCAAGTCCTTGGGGTCCTCTGTTGTCAACACTATCACCTTGTCAACACTATCACCTCTGTTGTCAACACTATCACCTTCAAGACTGTAATATTTCTAATCCTGAAGTAATTGAGTCTCTGTTTGTTGAAATTTCAAACCCTCTTGGGAAAAACATTATTGTAGGAACTGTTTACCGCCCACCCAACCAAAACCTTGTCTCATTTATCGAAGACTTTAATAAAATCCTTTCTATTATTTCCAAAGACAACAAACAATGCTACATAATGGGAGATTTTAATTTGGACTTCATTGTGATCATCATGCGTATACACAAGAATTTATAGACTCATTATTTTCACATGTTTATTCCTCTTATTAATAAGCCAACGCGGCTAACTTCTCATTCAGCAACACTAATTGATAACATATTTACGAATTGTTTTACACAAAATATTGTAAATGGAATTATTCTGAACGACTTGTCGGACCACCTACCTGTGTTTGCATTATCTAGTACTAAATTTGAGAAACCAAATAATGAAACCACATATTATACTCGGGATTACAATGATTTAAATATTATCAAGTTTCAAACTAAATTATCACAGGTCGAATGGACTCGGGTCTTGATCGGGCAGGATCCAAATAGACTTTACGATGTTTTTGCCGAAGATTATTATAGGCATTTTGAGGATTGTTTTCCCTTAAAAATATCTAAGTTGAATTCTTGTAGGAAATCAAAATCACCATGGATTACTAAAGGTTTGCTGACTTCTGTTAAAAAAAAGAATAAATTATACAAAAAATATCTCGCAAGCCCTACCCCTGTACGTGACTCTCAATATAAGAGATACAAAAATAAATTGAATCACCTAATTAGAATATCAAAGAAAACTTACTATGATAAAAAATTTGAATTAGCTAAAAGTGATTTGAAAACAACATGGAAATTAATAAATGAAGTCACTAACCTAAAACGTAAAAAGCCCTCACTACCGTCATCTTTTCGATCAAATAACATGACTATCAATGAACCCTCTAAAATTGCCAATGATTTTTGTAAATATTTTTCTGAAATTGGCCCATCCCTTGCGCGTAAGATTCCCCCAACAAATCGTTCATTTCATGAGTTTTTAGGCCCTACTATTAGTGAAACCATATTCCTTAAACCTACAACTGTTAATGAACTGAGAGAGATATGTATGTCGTTTAAAAATGGAAAAGCACCTGGCTACGACAACCTACCTATACATATCATAAAAAAATCGTTTGAATTAATATCTGAACCATTAATGCTGGTAATTAATTCTTCACTTGAGGCAGGGTTATTCCCAGATAAGCTAAAAGTAGCTAAAATAATTCCTATTTATAAAGCTGGTGAGGTAGATACATTCACAAATTACAGACCAATTTCAATTTTGTCTAGTTTTTCAAAAATCTATGAAAGGGTCATGTATAATCGTTTGGTAGAATTTACTAATAAACTTGAAATTTATTACTGCCACCAGTTTGGTTTTCGAACTAACCACTCAACCAATCTTGCTCTTACTCACTTGATAAATAAAATTGCAACTGCTATTGATCAAAAAGAAATAACAGCAAATGTTTTCTTAGATCTGTCTAAAGCATTTGATACCTTAAACCATGATATACTATTTTCTAAGCTTGAGAGGTATGGGATTCGTGGAGTGGCATTAAATTGGGTAAAGAGCCATTTCAATAACCGAACACAATTTGTTCAATATAACAAATTTTCTTCTGCTCGAATAGCCATACAATGTGGTGTACCCCAAGGGTCAATATTGGGCCCACTCTTTTTCATCCTTTATATTAATGATCTTCCAAACGCCTCACATTTAGTCAAACCACTATTATTTGCAGATGACACCAGCATTTGTTATGCTAGCTCCGATCCCATAGTATTAGCTACAGTATTAAATGAGGCATTACTAAATATTAGTACATGGATGAAAGCTAACAAACTCTCTGTCAATATTGATAAAACCAACTACATCATTTTCCAACCAACCCAAAAGAAATCCACGTATGAAATTCTCCTTCTTCTTGATGACAGATTAATCATACAAAAGAAACAGATCAAATTTCTTGGGGTCCTTTTAGATGAAAATCTCTCATGGAAACCTCATATAAATTACGTATGCAAAAAAGTTTCGAAGTCTATCGGTGTAATATACAGAGCTCGTTTCAACTTGTCGAAAAGTACTAAATTGTCCTTATATTATACCTTAATCTATCCATATCTTATCTACTGCAACACAATATGGTCGTCTACATATGTTTCTAACTTAAAACGGTTACAAATTCTACAAAAGCGAATAGTTAGATTATTGACTAGTTTGAGCTTTTTGGCTCATACTGCTCCGCTTTTTAAAAAATTGAAAATACTTGATATCAATAGGATTAATTCCTTTTGTACAGGTATATTCATGTATTCCTACCATAACAAATTACTTCCACTCCCCCCTTTCTTAACTTATTTAGCACCAGCAACCAGTTTCATAATTATAATACTAGAAACGCTGACACATATCGTTCACATGCATGTAGAACTAATATAAAACAATTTACTATGCTTTCACAAGGTCCAAAACTGTGAAATTCGCTCCCTGACACCGTCAAGAATGCAAGGACGTTAAATTGCTTCAGGAATAGAATACGAAAATATTTACTTCAATGTTAAGCCATATAACTGCGTTCACTAGCTGTTGCAATTGTTTTAACAAAATACTTTTGATATATATACTTTGAAAAGCTTCAAGGAGATATCCAATTTATAAGCCTTATGGTTTCTGGATAACTCCTTGCCACTAATAATAACCACTGTAAATATAACAACATAAATTACCATTATATAAACAGTAACAGTATATTAGAAATCTGAAATATTGTAAATGGTATTGGTGGCTAATAAATCTTTATCTTATCTTATCTTGTTAGTAGCATATATCTGCTTATAAGCCCTGGGTTCTTGAAAATGAGTGGAATTTCAAGAGCATTGACTGACCGGCTTAAACGGCTTTATGCAAACAGGTGGCCTTACCAGTTAGGATGAGGGTCGGTTAATTAAGGTTAGGGTAGGGTGCAGGCAAGGTTCATGTAAATTACTTATTGTTAGCAAAAATGTTATGTGTAACTACACAATCATGTGTAATATTGTGTTGGATTAATAGCAGTTAAACATTGGGACCCAGTGTCAGACACTCACTATATAAGGTATCTGGTTGTTTTAGTGTAATATTAATCAGTGGTGGATTTAGAAGTGCGCCCTAATTTCAGTCAACAGGGGTGCATGGGGGGGGGTGTGCAAAAATGACATTTATCTTAATTCTAACCAACTTATGTTAAGGAACTCAGTTGCGTATCACTATAGTTGACAATAGCGGAATAGCCAATATTAAATATTCTGAATTTTTAAATGTTTTGAGAATCTAAAAATTTCTCAGAATGTTTTCTCAGAATGCTGGAAATGCCATTTCCCGAGTATGTCCCGGACCACCCTAGAAATCTTGCGCCTTCGGCGCTCATTTCGCCATTGGTTAGCACCCCCCCCCAAAAAAAAACTTTCCTGGATCCACCACTGATATTAATTTCTTATTTCTCACATACTTTTTCAGGAATAAAGCAGCATTGAGCAACATGTTGGGAAAGAGAAGTCACAAACTGTTGATGAATATATTATTTAATTAACTACATCCACATAAAATACAATTTTATTAAACAGTATTTTGATTTATGGTCATAATTATTAGATTACATTATTTTCATACTAAAAATAAAATTAACAAATTACAATATCAGTGTGAAAATATTGCAATAATCAATTAAAATGTCAAACCAGCTAATTGTTTCAATTATTTAATTGTGAGTGCAACCTAACCCCCCCCCCACCCCCACCCCCTGAGCTAGGGAACAAAAGAATTGCTGTGGGCCCTAATTAATAATAATTATCCCTTTTGATATGTGACAATAATGCACTGTAAAATTCTCCTGTCAAATGCCAGAAAAATATACTTGTCAATGCATGGGGAGAGCTCTATCACTCCATGGGTTGACCAGTATATGTTAAGCCTTTGATAAGTGGCAATGTGCCCCAGTGCACCCTACTTTATTATTATATTCTGTCTAATGGCAGACAATTTTATTTGTGAAGGGGAGAGTGCTGGTGTTCAATGAGTTAAGTAGAATATACTAATTGCTTCGAACAAAGGTGTCATTCCCTTCTGTGCATGGCACAACATTTAACCAGGGCATTCTTCTCCAAGTTTTCTACACATCTCAGGATTTTTCTTCGTATCTGGAAAAGTGTAATAGAATACATCAAATCAGTCATGTACTATATAATTTGGTCTACATGCTATTGAACATTTTTTTCCTTTCAATTTTCAAATATTAAAATATGTCATTTACAGTAGAGTGTTGTGAAATAGGCATCCCCTTATTCACCCACTGATATCTATTTCTATGTACTATCCATAAATTCATTTCCGTCAAGAAGAATTCATGTCTATTTGCTGGCCTTTTTATATATGAACTATAAACTTTACTTGTACAGGGTGTCCCCAAAAAAGTACCCTCTATAGAAATTATCCTATTGTTATAATTTGAATGCCTGAGCACTATGCTGAACACAAGAGTGCATAAACACAATTGAATTGAATTTTTAATTACCAGTCGCATAAAATCCTGTGCTGTAATAACAATAGGATAATTTCTATAGAGGGTACTTTTTTGGGGACACCCTGTACATCTAGGTATTGGGCCTCCTACTGTTAGCCACTTAGCCATGAATAAAAGATTAAAATTGTCTATTAAAATCACAACTCAAATTCGTAGTGTGAGCCTTGCAAGCTTTTATTCAACACTTACTCCTGCAGAGACACTTATTAGGTCTATTAGGAACAGTTTTGATCTGTTTTGTGCCCATTACAACCATATATTGGGCCTCCTAGTCCTATGACAATATATATAAACCCTAGGATAAGTTGGGATTTGACAGGCCATATTTGTCCATCATTTTGAGGCATTTCTGTCAGGCTATACTCAGTATACTGTATGTGAAAATTGTTGTTCGATCTTTGGGTAAGGACTCCACAGGAAAACAAAAACTATAACCTACCCAAATGGCAAAATAAAACATAAAGAAAAGCGATAAAAGCAGAAAAATACCAGCTGATGTACAGCGTCGTTATATTTGTAAATTTCGCACCCAATTTTTCTTGAAAAAAAGGTATTTATTTAGTACAAATGAAGTATTTAATACATCTTACCGGTAAAAAGAATTGTTTCTTCAATTCTTCTTGATAAAGAATTGTGGCATCATGAAGCCATGCAAAAACTCGGCACTTTTTCTTGATGTTCAGTTTATATAAATTTTCAGCAGAGTTTCAGCTTTTTTGTGCAAAAACCAGGGGGGTGAAATTGTCGTCTGAAGCCGAGGATCGCGGTTGGCTAGTGGTAATTACCACGAGGATTTGGGACCAGTGGCATCATTCTGGCGTCAGCAAACGTGAAAATCCGCCATGTTTTTGGCTTCACTTGCTTGACTGAAGAGAGATAGGAGCACTTCCTCCAGATATATTATAGCTCAGTGGTAATCCTACTGACTGGCCGAGTTTGGTAACATCAGTTCCAACTTTAGAAAGTAAAGTGGAACAGAAGAAATCTTTTAGTGTCAGTTTGTTGATCAATACAGATTCATTGTTTGGCATTTGCAATTTGATCAGTTTAGAAAGGTTCAGTTGCCTCAAAAGGCTGTTGAGAGTGACAGCATGGGTGAAGCGATTTATAAGCAATTTAAAGCGAAAAAAGTTAGGCAAAGAGGGAGTTAGTGGAGTGTTGGAAGCGAGTGAATTGAAAAGTGCAGGGTTAGCATGGGTTAAGGCAGCGCAGCTAGATTTAAAAGATCAGCAAAGGTATAAGCAGTTGGAGAGACAGTATGGTTTGGTAGAAAAAGACGAGGTACTTCACTGTACAGGAAGATTAGGCAGTTCTGAGTTAGATACCGAAGCAAGAGAGCCGATAGTTCTGCCCAGAAAGCATAAATTCACAGAGTTAGTCATAGCACAGTGTCACGAGTCAGTTATGCATAGTGGAGTTAGGTCAACGTTAGCTCAGCTCAAAGTATTGGATAGTGAAGGGCAGACAAGAAGTGAAACGAGCAATAAATACATGTCTAATATGCGGTAAACAATGGAATAGCAAGGCATGCGCAAAGCCACAGCAAGCGGTGTTACCAGAATTTCGCGTCAATAGAGCAGCACCATTTGAAAACTCAGGCGTAGATTTTGCAGGACCTTTGTTTGCTAAAACAAAGAGCGGCACGAGTAAGGTTTACATCGTGCTATTTACTTGTTGCGTGACCCGAGCAACACCTTGAGTTAGTGCAAGATTTGAAAACGGCTACATTTCTACGTTGTTTTAGAAGGTTTGTAGGGAGAAGAGGGACACCAAAAATCATGATTTCGGACAATGCTAAAACTTTTCAAGCTGCAAAGAAAGCACTGCGCGAGTTATTTGGAAGCGAAGAAGTTAAGAATTGTTTAACCAATAAGGGAGTAGATTGGAGATTTAATTTGGAAAGGGGCTCCATGGTGGGGAGGGTTTTTTGAAAGACTGATAGGTCTTGTCAAAGTTTCTTTAAGGAAAGTGTTAGGAAATTCAAGGCTCACGTTTGATGAATTGAGGACAGTTCTGGTTGAAGTCGAAGCTAATCTAAACTCGAGACCGCTGACATACGAATATGACAAGGTAAGCAGTGAGGTGCTTACACCTTCACATTTAGTTTACGGTAGACGAATTACTACACTACCAGATAGTAATACTGAGGTAGATGTTAGGGAGTTAGGACAGGATTCTACCAAGGGCAACAGCATTGTACGCTTCAAATATTTGAGTACCATTTTGTATGGAAAGCCATGACTGTCTTAAGTAGTTAATCATCATTATATGCGGTGCTTTCGTCATTATATGAGGTGCTTTCGTCATTATACGTGGTGCTTTCTTCATTATATGCGGTGCTTTTGTCATTACATGCAGTGCTTTTGTCATTATATGAGGTGCTTTTGTCATTATATGAGGTGCTTTCGTCATTATATGCAGTGCTTTTGTCATATGCGGTGCTTTTGTCATATGCGGTGCTTTCGTCATTATATGCGGTGCTTTCTTCATTATATGCGGTGCTTTCTTCATTTATATGCGGTGCTTTCGTCATTATATGTGGTGCTTTCATCATTATATGCGGTGCTTTCGTCATTATAAACTGTGGTTGTTGCCCGGGAGGAGGTAATTAGCCCGCGATAATTACATCCAGCCGTTTCCAAACGTTTGACAAGCATATTTCATGTAAGATTCGTAAACTAAACCATAAAAAATGGAGGGTATTTTAAACAAACTTAATCTTGGAAGTTGTATTCCCAACTTTGCCGAAGAGAAGATCACTCCAGACATTGTGTGCAAACTGTCTGCATATGATTTGGAGTTGCTTGGTCTTAGCAGTTGCGCTAATATGATGAGACTAAGAGTCGAGTGCGTAAAGTTTGGTGGGGGACAGTTGCCGAAAATAAATAGTAGTTGTGGAGCGCCAAAGTTTCATATCCCAAGGAGTGTGCTGGAAAATCTCCTAGACGAAGGATTTTCCATAAATGAAATATCGACTCTTTTAAGAGTAGATATCTCTAAAAATCAAACAAGTGGTGGCAAACTTTGAAAAATCGATATCCCTCATACTTTCAAGTCCGGAAGGGTAATGTTTCCTAAGAACCACAGTATAGTTGGTTTGGTTAAATATCAAAGTATTTTGGAGAAATATGCAAATTATCGAACACCGCCGAAAATGCCTCTTCGATAGATGATTTTTGGCTTCAATTTGGTGGGCTTGTATGGACAATTAGAGCACTCCACATCAAATATAACTCCAAATTCTTGTTAAATAATCATTTGACTATCATTTTCCCAAGTATGGGGTCAATAATGCAATTCTATACTTTCCAAACAATTTTATTCTCGATGCCCATATTTTGTATCGATAAAAATGTGTCTTATAAAAAGTCTTGCAGCGAATGTGCTCTATCTTTAAATCATTCGAAACTCCGGCGAATGAATGTTGCAATAAAGGTCTTTGAACGGATGCAAAGGAATCTTTGGGCAAATACCTGTGTGTGACGTTTCAGGCTATCAAACTGTGATGAAATTGTACTCCTGTCAGTCCTATGACCTTTGAGGTCAAAGCACGTAATACATGTTTATTTTGAATTGCAAATCAATGAAACAGGTTCAAACGAAAAATAAAATGTAAACGAATGTAAGTTTTATGCAATCCATACCTGTTTACTTGCTAAAGTTGCATTTTATGGATCTTCTGGGCTTTATATACTGTTGCAAGTTTTCAAAACAATCGAGAACACAAATGATCGCCATCACCGCAAGCGCCGAGCCCACGATCCTCCACAGAGGTATGTACTTTATCTTGTCTTCACAAAATATATGCCGACATTTTCCCTAATCCCAGCCTGTCACCCCAACCACCAGCCCAACCTAAATTTGTTACATTCTTAATATCGCCATATTTGGAATGAAAAGAGACTTTATATGAATTTCTAATTTAAAATTTTTGTGTGATTTGTTTAATACTTTCTCTTTGTGGTCAACAATTATAAGCCGTTATTGTACATTCATGTATTTACTGTAATAGTGTACATAACCTGTGATCCGGCTGTTTTACTTTGTTTACCTGCTGTGATGTCAGGTATTCATTAGACAGGAAAAGAAGAGAACCATCTGCATTGCGCGCTTTTCTCATCGATTTTGAGACATCACTAGCATCTGCTTTTTGCCCTGTCTGCTCGCCAAGAAGAAATATGTCGATGAGGTACTTTTTTTGCTTCTCATTGAAACGGTGTCGACTTGTGGAAACACGTTTTAGCGCCCATCCCATCTTTATCGAAGGTACCTTTGATTCTTCAGCAATCTCCTCGACTTGCCATACTATGGATGCAGCCCCACTTTCTAGATTTTCAGCATAGCGTAGCATTGCTTTATCAAGGAATGACTCCCTCTCGAGGGCGTACTTGTGCCTGCCTCCATCCAGATGCTTCTGGAGGGATGAAAACCGTTGGAAGGTTTTCACACATCCATCTTCTGGACAGGTGAAAAGCGTATCCTCGTCTGCGTCGCTGCTGTCGTCGTCGGCGGATGTCTTCGTGTCTTTGTCTTTGGCGACATGACATTTCCTTGGCGTGACTTCACAGAATACAAGATTAGTGCTGGGGACATCAGTAATCTTGGTAAGCGATGGAAGTTCAGTCTTCTTCGTTTGAGTGAAATTGCTATAGGGAACGCTTTTACCATGCCCAACGTCATAAGCTCTCCAAACCTTCATCTCCTCGGTCTTGAATTGGATGTCATTGATAAGGCTAACACCTTCCCATTTTGGAAAAGGACTAGGGTCAGGGATGGTTAGAGGACCACACAGTATAGTCGCAACACCACGTACACCGCCATTGGACTCTATAGCTGATTTCATGTCTTGTGCAGACGAGATGTCATGGCCAGAGTTGAGGTATGAACGCATATGATTCTTTATAGAAGCAGCTTTGCGATCACATGGTCCCTTCCCGCCTTGAGGATCAGAAAAATCCATTCGCACGCACACATTGTGCTTTACGGCGAGTTGATGTATCCCAAGTATGGTAGCAGCGCTGTGGTAGCAACCAGCGTTGTCCTGTCTGAAGCTCACAGATTTCAACCCAGGTATTGCAGTCTTTAGCTTTTCGATTACATCATCGATGACGGCCAACACATACAGGCTGTCTTGGTTACTTTTCTGAAACACGTGGACAAGAGTCAGCGTCTGCAAGGTTTTTCCAGGAGGCTTTTTCAATGCCACACTAATGTGCCAGGAGAGGCCTCTCTTACCAAACCAGTCCGCCTGGCTCTCTCTGTACTTTCTTGGGATGAACTTCATTGCCCAATCTAGCACCACCAATACAGAGTTGTCATCTACTGCTTTCAGGATGTCAAGGCGGGCCTCATCTTGATTGATGAAGCGTAATATGTGTGCTTTCCAGGCTTCTATGTTCTTCTTTGACTGCGCCACCACAAACTTCATTTCTTCTTTGTCTTCGTGAGGAATCCTAGCCTTTTCCACCTGTAACTCTAATTCTTGGACAACAGCAGGAAACAGGTTGCACCTATCACAAACTAGATCGTGCTGATGATTACACGTGGTGGTAAAATTGGAATCGTTAGCAAGACTGAGGGCATAAGGTCTACAATGGTCAGGGACCCTTGAAGTTGATGACACATGAACCTGAAAAAAACACAAACATCACATAATTAATGTATCAGCTATAACAATTCATCGTACATAAACTACGGCATTTTGATGAAAGCGCTAAGACGCGGCGCCCATTGTTAAGGACATCTAAGTTCATTTTTCATTAACTTGATTGGGAGAAAGAAAAGAAAAGAAAAGAAAAGGAACGAAACAAAACATGTAATCATTTTCTCAAGGCATTTCGTCTAATAAAAAATTCTTTAAAAGGTCACTGACCTTGTAATCACTTTTAAAGTAACGCTTTGCCAGTTTCAACTTTCTAATCTGCTCCTTGGACCATGTCAGACCAAGTTCATAGACGTCACCTAGCTTATCTACGACTGTAACCATGTCATCAAATGCTTTGCCACCTTCTGCTGAGAAGTAGTCGAGGCCTTGAAGCGAGGTGCGGGTAGATGCAGAACAAACGTCTAGTATCCTGCAAAGGCTACTACGGCTCAAAGGGGAACTAAATCCGGTCTCCGCACAGTAGCTCTGATACTGCTGAATTATCTGTTCTGGTATGGAGTTTCTTATGACGTTTGGGATCTTTATTTCAGTGGTAGAGAGCTTTAAGGTTTTCTCCCCAAAGGGCAAATCTTGTATTACCCTTGCACTGGTAATGAAAGCCAAAAAGTGGTCGAGCTTCTCTGGAGGTACTTTAATTCTGACGTGTTTCTGGGGAGAAATGTCAGCGCCTCTGCCATGTAGCAACAGGTGGTGTCTTGCAATGCTATATCGATAGCGAGTTATATCTGGAATCCATTGTTGAACAGTTTTGAAGCTGACCTTATCGGCAAAGATGGAGAGAATTTGTATGCGACTGCTCCAATGGCTGGCATTCTCGTAGCATGCTGTTAAAGCTTCTAACAGCATGCAATCCGTGTCATCATTTTCATCTAGTTGCCTTTCTTTTATTGCTCTGAACAGCATCTCAGAATTATTGGGTGCAATTTCTTCAAGGGTAGCAAAGACAACCTGTCTGGCTTTCCGTAAATAGTGCCTCTTGGTTCGTCCTGCAGCTTCTTCCCATGGTGTCATCATTGAGGTTCGAATTGGACTTACATCTCTTGCAGCAAGAAAGCAGTTTAGCTTACCCTTTGGAGTAGATGTAGATGGTTCCTCATCATATTCGCTGGTCATTGACAGGTCGAAGGCTTGGGATATAGCAGAAGGTGAGAATAGCGTTGACGGCACAG